TATAATACAAAACAAATAGGAAAAAGCTTAAAAATTATTATTCATTCCGAAGGTATTTTATTAGTGCCTTTGTTCGTTGATATTGTGTACCTCCATTGTTCACTTCCATGATATTATTTTCTTGGAATTACCATATCAAAATTATCCACGAGATCTCTTAGTAGTTTTTGTCCTGTTTCAATTCTATTTGTAGGCATCATCTATCAACCGAGTAGCTTTAATTTGCTCGAAATAGAATCCATTAAAGTGCTCATCTTTGTAAATATTACGCAATTCCGGTTTCAAATTGTAGACGAAAACTTTTATCAAAGGTGTGTACTATTTTTAATCCGGTAATAAACACCGTGCGATGGTGAAATTTGAAATCTTTTTGGTATCGAAGAAACCAAGTTCATTGTCTTTGCTTCCTCAATATAATGGGGACTTGTCAGTGCTAATTATGGAGTTTGTATAGCATACAATTTGTACTAATAATACCACTGCAGGAAACTAAACAAAGGGTACTTTTTTAATACTAGAAAACGTATATTTAACTGGTACTATTTTAAGAGCAAAACAAATTTTATGAGTATGGCTAAAAATATCAATTTTTTTGTAAATATGTTTAAAATTACTTTTTTTCTATTAAAGTTAATAAAATCTAAGTCATAAAATTTTAAATTTTAATTTAGTGGACAATTTATTTCATAACTCAATTGTTAATTTCATGCATAATTTAATACATAATATATTATAGTATATAATAATATTATATAATATATAGTTATGTATACATAACTTTAAAATCTGGTTTATAAAATTCATTAATTTAATATAAATTTTATTTTTTCAAATGACAATATTGATAATTAAAGGTGACAAATAACACAAAATCCCTCATTAAAACTCATGTTTTGTATAAACTTTGTAGTATTTTTGAGTCACAACACAAAACACAATATTATAATTCATAATTTATTTCATAAAAGTTAAATTTTATGAACTTTCAAGGTTATTCAATAAACACTAAATTGTGAGTTAGGGATTCAATCGCTGTATATATAATTTTATGCTTATGCACTAAATTGTGAATTATGAAATAAATTAATGATATGAAGTTTTATAAACCCGCCATAAAGTGATATTTTCACCCATAATATAACAAGTGGTATGATTATCATCGATGATATTTTCGAATTGAAACCGAGCTGCAGATTTCACGAGTCCGCAGGACGAGTGAAATGTGCTGCTTCGGTTTCAATGAGTAAATATCTTCGATTATTAATCATACCACGAGTTATATTTAGTGAGAAAATATAATGAATTTTAGCAATTTAAAATTAAAATGTGCTTTAAAATATAAAAAGACTTTAATAAACCTTATTTATTCAAACTTACCTTAATTTCATTATCGTTTACACCAACCCATCGATCTTTTAGAGTTTATAATTCATTATTTTATTGATATATATCAAATACAGAATTTAAATGACAACAGATGTTAAATCAAAAAAAGTGTCAAAATTCTTAGTAACGTGTAAACAAGATGATAAAAATTATTGCCGCTGTGATAAAATACGTCACTATGGAATACTGGCATTTTATTGGTTCTAATATTAATGAATTGTCAATTAGTTAAAAAATATCATATAAGAACTTTATTCAGCGAATTAAAAATATCAAAGTAGATATTAAAAAATTTAATTTAATTGTTATGTCAAACTGATATTTTTAATTTAGTTAATTAAAAATATGCGTTTACCAAAAAAATACAAAATTTTAAATTATCTAAATAAAAATAGTCAGTATGGTTTAAAAATTAAATCGAGTTTTTAATTAAGCGAATAAAAAATGTGGGGTTAACAAAAAAAATAAAAATATAAGAAACATATAATAAAAAATATCAGTTTTGCATAAAAATTAAATAAAATGAAAAACATAAAATAATTTTTTTTATCTAATTGAAAATATCACACGCCGTTTTAACATTAATTAAATAAATTTTTAATTTAAAGTTTTATTGGTTTAAACAAAAATTTCTAACCATCATTTTTTAATAAAAATAATTTATTTTTTGCAGAATTTTGCAAATCCTAAATAAATTTTTATTAAATTGGTAAAGTAAAATTGTTTAGTATTTAAAAATAATGTCAAGACATTTAAAATAAAAACATAAAAAAATTTCTACCAAAATAGTTTAAAAAGTTAATTTTTTTAAATCTCAAATCAATTGATAATACTGTAGGGAGGTGAAAATATCACAGCTGAACGCTCGGACACGTAAACTTAATTTTTGGTCGTAGATTACAAATCCGTGCTTGGTTTAGCTGTATCAAGTCAAAATTCAAAGATATAGAAACCCTGTATAAATTTAAACACCCTTTATAAATTAAAAAAAAATCAATTTGGATGGACCCTCACATCAGTTTCAAATTAAAAAAAAAACAAATTCTTTTAAAATTTGTTAATTGGTTTTTCTTAGATAATTTAGGAAATTCAAAATGTTTTTTTAATTAAGGATATTATATTAAATGAAATAGAACGCATAGGAATATTGGCAAAAGAGGTGAAATATATTATTTTACAAATTATAATATAAAATCTTTTTTTAGACCTGATACAGCTAAACCGAGCATGGATTTGAAATCTACGACCAAAAATTTACCTACAGTGTAATCCAAAAATATTATTATATAAAATGCAAATATAAAGTGTTTTTAAAAATGATAGTCAATTTTTAATACAAAAATTCTCACATTACATTTAAATGTTAGTTTTTTTGGATTAAAAATTTATCGACTATCATTTTTAACAAATTGATACATTTTTAACACAAACATATTCACATTACATTTAAATGTAAGTGGATAATTTTTAATTCACAAAGTGTAAACGCTGCTTTAGCTGAGTGCATATGCTGCAGACTTCGCGCTTTGTACTATGCTCCACACCTCAAAGTGACCACGTACGGAACGCAGTCTTTTGAAAATTTGGCATTTAAGGCTTTTCAGGTTATACATATATGTATCTGTCAAAGTATAGTCAACGAAAGAAATAATATTATGTTTAGGCGTTAAAAATGTATAAATCTTTATAACATTAGAATAACAATGGATGGTTTAAGAATTTAAGAATATAAATACTGCATTTAATAAAATTCTAAAATGTATGGTGCCAAATAAGTAATATTTTTGTGCATTTTGTCCAAATGTCTTATAATTTTAACTAATTAGCATTTATTAAAAAAAATCTAGCTTCTCTATTATGGAATAAGAATATCTGTATTAAAGGTAGGTTAATATATTATAACAAAAATATCATCTAATTTTGTAATTTTAAGGTTAGAAAAATTTATTTTGACCAAAATAAATAAGTATTTTGGATTATTTAAAAGACAGTATAATATGGTATTTAAAAATGTGGTAGTTTTTCTTATCCAGCTTAAGTGTACCTACCTTTTGTCAATACAAATAATTAAAAAGCTTCGACTGAATTTGATCTACATCAAAAAATCATTATAACTTTAAAAATTTTAATAAATCACATGTCATGGGAGTATTAAATATTTTCACATTGCAAGTTTCTCTAAAAATTGCTTGTTTTTTTTATAATCTAACTTAAAATAGGTATGCCGAGAGGTATGCACAAGTTTTGTCATTAGAAGTATAAAAGCTTCAATTTAATTTGAACCATATTCAACAATTATTTAGTATACCTATATTTATTTATGACCATATAAACACACTCTTCCAAATAATCCACTTATTTATTTTGGTCAAAATAGATTTTTCTAACCTTAAAATACAAAATTGGATGATATTTTTGTTCTAATACATTAACCTACCTTTGATACAGATATTCTTATTTCAAAATAGAGAAGTTAGATTTTTTTTAATAAATCCTGTTTAGTTAAAACTATTTTATGGAGAAATGTAGACCCAATGCACAAAAATATCACTTATATTTCACCTTACACTTTGGAATTTCATTAAATGCAGTATTTATATTCCTAAAGTCTTAAACCAACCGTTGTTATTGTGATACTAAAAAGATTATTAACTTTTAACGCTTAAACATAAGCGGTAACACTATAAATATTATTTCTTTCATTGACTATACTTTGACAGATACATAACCTGAGAAGCCTTAAATGCCAAATTTTCAAAAGACTGCGTTCCGTACGTGGTCGCGTGGTGGGACTTTGAGGTGTGGGGCCACAGACCACCATACAAATGGATGGCGCATTGCCATTCAATAACAATGCTTTGTTTGCGGTCAACGAACGGTCACAGTCTAAGCGTTAAATTGGCGATAGAATTTTATGTTTTCTTTCAGTGACGTATTGGGAATAAAAAAATAATAAGTATGTAGGTACTTACAAACGATATTTCCATGTATTGTTATTTTTAGTAAAAAATAATGTATTTAAACTCCATAATTAACTTAAACACGATAGAAATACACAAACGAAAACACAAAACAACAAGCTGTCAACCTTTTTCTATGCTATCAAATATGACGAATTTACCAACGTTGTTAATATTTAGTTTTAATAATTATTAAATGATTTACTTTCTTTAAATAGAGAAAAATATCTAAACAAAATGATGAACAAATCCTTTTTTCAATTTTTTTATTATTTAAACGAATTACTGGTAATTATTAATGTTCATTATGTTATGATGAACATCCAAAAAGACGTGTAATCTATACTTCTGACAACGTTGGAAGCCGTGTTTCTTTCGACGGTGCACCGCGGTGTTTAGAATGTGAAACTATGCTTTACTCGCTTTTTAAACGTTAACAAATTCGTCCATTTGTTTTGGTGGTCTGTGTGTGGAGCATAGTACGTTTCACTAAAGCTACGTTTACACTTTGTAAATTAAAAATTATCGACTTACATTATAAATCAAATAAATATTTAAAAAATTGACAAAAAGTTTGTTAACACATTTAAATTCTCCGCTGAAGTTTACAAGATGTTACGGTAAATTACAACGACTTTTTCCACCATCTTGCAGAAATCGTGAACGGAAAAACAAAGTGATATAATTACTTACACAGACATTAAAACATTGAACAGTGAACAACTAAATGCAGTGATCTAGTGGCACAATGGCCGCCGTATGCTTCCGACCGCCCCCCTTGCCGCCGAGCCGCAAAAAAGGCAGCTTCAGAGGCCGCAAAAACCCGCTCCCGCCGCAAAACCACGGCCTGCTGTCCTCGACGTACCTCAGCTTCCGGGACCCGGCCGACGACGCTCTGAAGACGAGCGTCGCGACGCCCAGACGATCGCGCCGCCTCTCGAGCGTCTCGAGCGGCTTCGACGACTTGGCAACGATGTCGAGGAGCCGATCGGACGGAAATCTGGACAGGGGGGACCGTTTGTCCGTCAATAGGTACATGCGGGTGCTCAGCGGCAGCTGGAAGAACCTCCTGAACTGTACGTATGAGTTGTAGGTTGCATTCGATCTGCTAAAGCTATTACCATCCAAACTAACCGCAAAACTAATCCATCACGAGTTGCCTTGGAGTTGTGATCATGCGCAGCAAAAGTGGCATGCTTCTATCAGTAAGCCCACTCCCCTGGAAAACAGGAAAACCTGGAAATGTCAGGGATTTTGAATACCAGTAAAAAAAGTCAGAGAAAAGTCGATCTTTGAAAATGTTTTTTAAGTGATAAGTTACGTTTTCTTAGAGATTGCCAAATATTTCTTAAAGCCTTAGCTAGATATTGGCCCAATATTCGTAATAATATTGGGCCAATATATCTTATATCGTCAGATTTTTTCTAGCATGGTTGAGGGAGAAATTGAAAGAAAAAAAAGATATCCACCTAGTACTCACTACGTAGTAGGATTTCTAAAAGTGATACGTCACGATCGTGTCGACAAACGGGTGTTTTCAGAAAATGTTTATGATACGGGGGCGTAGAAGCGGGGAGGCAATAAGACAAGTCGTGTTCCGTCTGTGTTATTCTTAATTACGATGAATTGCTAAAATCGTTTGTATCGTGTGCTAAAAGGTTGAGCTTTATTAACGTAATAACGAATTTTATTCCTAATAAGACAAGAAATCGCATATTACCCTTGCTATTCTTACGGTAATATGCTAGAATGGCTTTTATTATTTTCACCCATTTGGTGCTAAACAATAAGGATGGTAGTCGGTTGCTTCACCCCCCAACTTAAAACCGTTCCTGCGCCACTAGTATAGCCATATCCTGGAAACAAACGTGTGTCGTTATATATCACTTTTAGAAATCCGAAGCATCCTTGACTATGGTTAATGATATATTGGCGTAAAATAATATGCCAATATAGGAACAACCTTGGATAAATATTGGCAATGATATATTAAATTATCATTTTATGCCAATATAGGGCTAAATAAATCCAATATTGGCCCCAGATAAAATATTGGGCATATATAGACGCGCCCCATATAGGACCAATATTTTGTGCTACTGGGGTCTGCTTTAAATCCAAACACAATTGAACTGTAATTATAATAAAATTACAGTAGAATCTGGGTTTTCTATTATTAAAAATTTGTTGGTCGAGAACATAATGGGGGAAAACTCTTATATTCCAAAGAATTAGCAAAAATTCAAACTAAAAAATATAATATGCAGAAAAAAATATTTATTTATATAGGCTAAGCTAGCTTAGTTTGCTATTATTTTTATAATTGAATCGGTGAGATTAGGAACAGTACCAAGTCCAAAAAATTTATTATGACAAATCATTTTCAAAAATCAATTTATAAGTTTAAAATGCATTTTTGAGAGAAGATATAAATTATATTATAAAATATGATTATTATATTTTGTAAAGTAGTTGAAATATTCTCACCAAAATTCATTTTGAACTATAAAACTGATTTTAAAAAATAATGTATTAAATTTTAACTTTTGGACTTAATCTTACCCACTCAATTGTTTGTTCTATTAACTTTTTTTTTATTTTGTAAAAAATTCTTTATAACCACCTATAATTGTTTTTGAAAATAGTTAAAAACTGGTCTGGAAACCTGTAAAAGTCGTATTCTCTTGGTGTAAACCCTGTATGTAGGTATATTGTCGTAATAAAGTAAAAAAATATTTTTTAATTTTAACCAAATATTAACCATATTTTATGTTAAGCCATGTCCTTATAACTTTATGTTAAGTTTACAACCAACTGTAATCTGTTAACTAATTTAATAAGCAGTATGTAATTTTGTAGATTTAATAACAAAATCCTATGTCAATAATTCAACCATAATTCTTGTAATTTTTAAAAACACATATCTTTTTGTAGACCCAGTAACAAAAGTATTTGTTGTAAATTGGGAACTTAAATGAAAAAGAATTTTGATAAGAAATGATGCTTTATTAATCAATTTACTAAACAAAAAAAATAACACAAACCTACATAAATGAACCCAAAAATAACATACACACAATTAAATAACACACCATTCTGAAATCATCAAATTATAATATATAATTATCAGTACTACTGCAACACTTAGGTACTGATGTATTTCTTAACTTTAACCCTTTTCTCTGTATCCTCTAATTATAGTTTTTAAACTAGTAATGGCATGTTTTTTTGGTTTTGATTGATTGCCTGAAATCACGTGTACTTTTTTAACAAAATAATTTGTAACCTTTGAAATTAACAAAATGCTTACAAAAATACATATTACCTTTACAAACCTCTTTTCCTTTGTTAAAATAATTAAGAAATATGATTTTTATAACGTGAAATAACGCACTTATACATTAATAATATGCATATAAACTTTTTTACAGGACTTCTATCGAACCCTATAGGGTTGAAACGTGAACATAACCTCACATTAAAATCCAATCAAATTATTTTTTTTAATGCACGTATCGTTGGTGAAAGTCCTTAATTTTACTAAACATTTTTTTTGTTACAGGTAAGTTGAGACACCAAAATCCCGTTACCTGCTTAAACATCTCGGTTCGTAAGTACCTCTAAAAATTAATACACATATAAAATGCATACATAAAAAGATTTAAATTCCAACGACTACTTAGACCTGTAGGATTAACTCTCTGAAACAGGCCTAATCGATTAATAATTCTTATTTACAATGACAAACTAGAAGCGACCATAATTCATCATTAAAAATTTGTTGGAAATATGTAAATACCAGTGATGAGTTTTTAATTGTTATTAATATTTTATATGGATTTAAGTTTGTTTATATAATTAAACCAACAAAAATAAATCCTTATACAGGGTGTACCAGTACTCGAAAACTAGTTAAATCATAATTTCCATTCGAAAAGATGAAATATTTTTTCTTGTTTCCTGTCAATGCAGAATCAATAGGTGCACGTTCGATGGTCCAATAAATTGATTAGCTTCCGCCATTACTGACTTTATAAACTTATTGCCGTAAATTTACGACCGCATTGTATCACATGTACCGGTTGTAATTTCTCGCAATACGCCGTCCTTTTGATACGCCATTAATTAATTTCTGATTAGTTATCGTGAATTCATGATGGGGTAAACCACATAGTATTGGACACTTAAGGAATATTATTTATTTAAAATTTATATATGCCGTTGTTTTAAAGATTCTAGTTTTTTCTTATAAATATATAAAAATTATAGTTTGTTTGTATAAACTTTATTTACGTTACTTAAAAATAGGAATATTTGAATTTTTAATATTAGTTTTATAAAAGCATGCAAAAAAGTATAGTAATTGGACATTTTATATTTATGGACCATAGTTATTGGACATACAATTTTTATGTAAACATAACAACTTTACATCAAATAACATAAATTGTTAAATATTTTTTAAGGGTGACATTCACAATATCGAAATTCATTATATCGAATTCAAAATATCGAACACTTTTTATCGAAAATCAAAATATCGAAAATACAAAATGTCGAAAATCATAATATCGAAAATTAAAATGTCGATTTGAAAATGTCGAAATTTTATTTAATCGAATTTTCAATTTATCGAAAATAAAATCTCGACCGCTGTCATCTTGGTTATGCAGGTACACTGCATTGTGCCATACCAAACCAACCCAAACTTAACAACCCAACCCAACCGACCCCGCCCCATTGGGCCCCTCCCGCCCCATTGAGCAATAGAGGTATAATATATCTAAGGGCAGGCTGGATTGTGACAATGGGGCGGGAGGGGCCCAATGGGGCGGGGTCGGTTGGGTTGGGTTGTTAAGTTTGGGTTAGTTTGGTATGGCACAATGCAGTGTACCTGCATAACCAAAATGACAGCTATTCGTCATAACCTTGAGGAATACTTTGCTACATTTAGCCTCTAGTTGAAAATGAGGTTAAAATATGCGACGGTTGAGCACACACATTTCTACGTCCTTCCGACGGTCGAGCACACACTTTTCTACGTCCGTCCGACGGTCGCGACCGGTCGGGGAGACACTACCTTTAATTATTCGACATTTTCAAATCGACATTTTAATTTTCGATATTATCATTTTCGACATTTTGAATTTTCGATATTTTGATCTTCGACATTTTGTATTTTCGATAAAAAGTGTTCGATATTTTGAATTCGATATAATGAATTTCGATATTGTGAATGTCACCCATTTTTTAAAGATGAATTGCTGTTTTAGGTAATTTTTTTTATTTCGTTTTTGTAAATATCATATAATTCATATATTTCTTTCTCGGATTCCTCATCCCTTTTCTGGATTCTGAAGGTAACTACTAATTCATTGGTCTGACTTTTGAAATAGTTTGTTGCAAATATTATTAAGTGTGGTATCTCTAGTTCTCTAGTCTAAAACAAAATTTTGTTTTAAAGCGTTCTTAAAGACCATAATAAAACTAAAAATGTTACTTGGGTATAAAGTGTCCGATAACTGTCCACTTTACCCTATATTGAGAAAATAAAATAATGTTTACATTTAGTATTATTTTACAAGAGACTTTATTTTAACGATTGTCAAAAAACTAAAACACCATAAAGCTGCAACTTGTCAATGTGTATTTAAAAGGTCACTTAGTGTCATGGAAACATGTACGATAATGGACGTTTTAAAGCATTATAATAATTAATATAATTGTACTCTTTGATTAGCAATTATTATAATAGTTGTTAGACTACAACATACAAATTACCGTACACCCAACTGTTAATTCGAATAATTAAGCATCGGTAAATCACTACTTAACGTTAACTGCTGCTATCTGTTAGCATAAATCAGTCGGTTTCTTGTCAACAATAACCGATTTGTAGGCGATAATTTATCTGTCGATTCGTGAGGATTTTCCAGTGAACCGAATTCAAAACAAAACGCTGCGTTCAAAGCTTCTTTGTGTCGATTGTGAAATGTAAAAAAAACGTTACAATGATGTCTAGACGTTTGTTTCTCGAACTGGCTTAAAATAATGTTTATTTTTCGTAAAAGTAAAA